GGTTTCACCTTTTGAGTTGCCTTACTGACATAAATGAACATTTGCACGATACTGTATTCTAATTTTTCGAGTTTCACCTGTAGGTTGAAACACAATCATTAAATGAAACAGAAACAGCTGTGTAGGAGGCTTAAAACTGGGTGAGGAACAGCCAAACTCTGCTACTAAGGTGAAGTTGTGCAAGACAGTTTCATGTCACAGGTCATATACCATGGCAAGACTGAGTACAGCAACAAGACACAAGGGAGTTATACTGCATCAGCAAGGTCTCTCCCAGGCAAACATTTCAAAGCAGACTGGGGAAAAAAAAAAAAAAAAACAAGACACAAGGGAGTTATACTGCATCAGCAAGGTCTCTCCCAGGCAAACATTTCAAAGCAGACTGGGGAAAAAAAAAAAAAAAAACAAGACACAAGGGAGTTATACTGCATCAGCAAGGTCTCTCCCAGGCAAACATTTCAAAGCAGACTGGGGTTTCAAGATGTGCTGTTCAAGTTCTTTTGAAGAAGCACAAAGAAACGGGCAATGCTGAGGACTGTAGATGTAGTGGTCGGCCAAGGGAACTTAATGCAGCAGATGAAAGACACATCATGCTTACTGCCCTTTGACATCAGAAGATGTCCACCAGTGCCATCAGCACAGAACTGGCGGAAACTAGTGGGACCCAGGTACACCCATCTACTGTCTGGAGAAGTCTGGCCAGAACTGGTCTTCATGGAAGAATTGCAGCCAAAAAGCCATACCTCCAATTTGGAAACAAGGCTAAGCGACTCAACTATGCACGAAAACATAGGAACTGAGGTGCAGAAAAATGGCAGCAGGTGCTCTGGACTTGTGAGTCAAAATTTGAAAGATTTGGCTATAGCAGGAGGCAGTTTGTTTGCCAAAGGGCTGAAGAGCAGTACAATAATGAATGTCTACAGTGAAGCATGGTGGAGATTCCTTGCAAGTCTGAGGCTGCATTTCTGCAAATGGAGTTGGAGATTTGGTTAGGATCAATGGTGTCCTCAATGCTGAGAAATGCAAGCAGATACTTATCTATCATGCCATACCATCAGGGAAGCGTGTGATTGGCTCCAAATTTATTCTGCAGCAGGACAATGATCCTAAACATACAGCCAATGTCATTAAGAACTATCTTCAGAGTAAAGAACAAGGAGTCCTGGAAGTGATGGTTTGGCCCCCACAGAGCCCTGATCTCAACAT